CACAGGATTATTTTAACAATATCTATAACCAAAATAATGTATAATCTTGTGTTTTCTGAACCAAAAACCACCAACTTAAATAACCACCTTGCAATGTCCTCACAAACCACTCAACAACTGCAAAACACCACCACAGAATCAGTTTTGACCGCCTTAGAAACCACATGGCAACTGCCCTGGCATTGGCTTACACAATATGCAGTTATGATTTAGAAACTATGGTAGATTGAAAAGAATTAAATAAATACATATTCAAAGGTGCACAAAAAAAGACCTTGCGTGGTTGTGAAAAGAAATGTCCCCAATTCATAATTATTATGCAGTTTAACTGGTCAATGCTGATTAATCTGGGCTGTGATGAATGTTCAGGGTTTTTATAAAGCCAGTCATAGCTCAAGTAATGTGAAAAGTGGTAGTTCATATTTGAATTGTAAAAAATAAAGGTGACAGTATGGAGTTGTATAAAGGTTTCAGACACAAAAAACTTTCAGTGAAAAGAACCATTTCTAGCATGAAGAACATTTGAATAATCTAAAAAACTTTTGTGTAAAGGAGGCCACATGATGGCTCAGTGGTTAGCACTGTTGCCTCACAGCAAGAAAGTCGCTGGTTTGATTCCCTGCTGGGTCAGTTGGCATTTCTGTGTGGAGTTTGCATGTTCTCCCCGTGTTGGTGTAGATTTCCCTCATAGTCCAAAGACATGTGCTGTAGGGTAATTGAATACACTAAATTGGCTGTAGTGTGAGTGACTGAGTGTGTTTGGATGTTTCCCAGTACTGGGTTGCAGCTGGAGGGGCATTTGGTGTGTAAAACATATGCTGGATAATTTGGCGGTTCATTGCGCTGTGGCAACCCCTGATGAATAAAGAGACTAAGCCGACTTTATTTATTACTTCAGACTGTTTCAACTCACTTTTTTACTGAGGTGACACTGCTCAAAAATAGTATCAATTGGTAAAGTTTTGCTTTAAGGCTCTTACAGGATTTTCCCCATTTGAAAATATCTTGGTACCTTAAAGGCAAGATTAAATTATAAATTCTAAGTATAGTTTTAATACAAGTTCATTTGTCTATCTTTAATATTTGTTGAATACCAGTTAAATTTCATGCATCACGCAGAAACGAGTAAACTTGTTTAGGGGCGGAATAGTCATGTTGGAAATATAGTATGTGATTTTATTAGCCAAGTATTATTAGCAAATAAACTTTCAAAAATGAACTTTTATCATTTGCAGTGCTTTGCTCAATCGACATCCACTGCCAGTGCATTACTGTCTACATGGTGTTTGCTTGTTTTATGATTGAGGAATGAAAGTGAGCCTTAACAGAGCTTAACATGCTTAAGTTTGTTCTCTTGTTTTGAAAAAAAATAAATCAAAGAAGTGATCCTTTCCTTGTCAGGCTGAATCTAGCCATTAAAACAAATCTTTTATTAAGGGTGTGTAATTAATGACAGAATTAACATTTTTGGGTGAATTATCTCTTTAACCTGTAAGATCTACATTCATCTTTAATACACAAATAAAAATATTTCTGATGAAATCCTAAAGCTCATGAAAAAATTCAGAGATGTTCAAAGCCCATAAATTTATCAAGAAGATTGCCAAAACAATCCACATTTTATCAGTGGTTCAGCTGTAATTTGGGTATTTTGTGTTGTTTTATTTGCACATTAAAAACATTTTAGTGCCTTTATAAAATGATGCGTAACACTTCATTTTGATGAACCATTTGAGTATTAGTAGACTGTCTGCTTAATATCTGTTGATACTTCTTCTTTAACAGACATTTGACTGACTATAAGAAACTTTGCAAGTACATGTCAACTTATACTAACCCTAATCCCAACCTAACAGTCTACCTATAATCTAATGAGAATTAGTTGGCATGTAGATGCAATGTAAATTCAACAAACAGACCATCAAAATAAAGTGTGACCAAATTAGAATTTGAACCACTGGCACACTTTTATTTATTTGCTTATATATCTCTGGGTGAATTTTATGACCCTTGCTGTGTCTGAAAGAGTCAGAGAACTCTTAGATCTCATTAAAAATATGTTTGTAAAGACATTATAATTATTGTCTGAAGATGAATGAAAACCTTCGAATGTCATGAGTAACTAATGACAGAATTTTCATTTTTTAGGGAGTGAGCTATCCCTTTAAGTCTCAAGTCAATGTCCTGCCCTTCTTAAATGTTGTTTTTCCACTGCGGCTGCTGTTGTTGTTGTTGTTGTTGCTTAAACATTGGCCAATTTGAGTTAGGCTGATGCAATTCAATGTCATGAATGAGAATCAAATTACTTTCTAAACACCTCTTGTGTCATCACATCTGATTCTCTCAAGGGACGCACATACAAATCTCAAAATATAGACTAGATCAAGCAGGTTGCTCCTGTTCTTATAATCCATTCAGATCTATGTTTTAAGCCTGAACAGATACATAGCCCCCCGGTTTCACAGACAAGGCTTAAGCCTAGTCCTAGACTAAAATGTAAGTCTGAGCTGTTTCAACTGAAATAAAATTGCACTGATTGATTTTTAAATATATCAGTGCCTTTATTTTGTTTCAAGATACACACCAATAATGTTTTTTTTCTAAGCATGTTTGGAAAAATTACTTAAATGTACTAAATGAACTATGGCCTAATCCTGGCTAGTCTAAGCCCTGTCTGTGAAACCGGGCCAGCATGTAATTTAGCTCAGCTTAAGTGCTGTAATGCAAAAATACATATCTTTCTCATATCTTGTGTAAGTGTTTTTAAGAAATATAACTATTTGAAACATTACATGGGGCGTGTTTAGGTCAATTGGAGTTGTACATAATGTACACAGTGTCAAAGAAGATGTTATGCTAGATAAAAAAAAAACATTACATTTGCAAAAATATATTTAGTCTTTTCTCTTCATCACACACACACACACACACACACACACACACACACACACACACACACACACACACACACACACACACACACACACACACACACACACACACACACACACACACACACACACACACACACACACACACACACACACAAACACACACACACACACACACACACACACACACTTTAAGCACTGTATTTTGTTCATAAACATGTATGTGTGTTTAAAACCTGTAAGTGCCATCTGAAAATTTCTTAGCATTTTTCTCAGCCTCTTATGTCTTGATTCAGTAATTTCACTTCTATGGCAAAGAATAGGTTGTTTTCATCTATTTAAACGTGAAATGACCATACCTGCCAACATTTGTCTATGAAAATCCGGAATACTTCGGGGGAGTGGTGGGGATGTCTAGGTGTTGGGGGTGAGGTGTCTGAATGACACAGCTAAGTAACTGTACTATGCACTGGGATTTAGGCAACCGATGCGTTTGGATACTATACGAAAGTCGGCGATCCGGGGGTGTTATAGATTGTACCAAAAAGGAGGTGGTTAGGGTGAAATTACGCGAGTTTTCCGGGAGAAATAACAAAACGGGAGGGTGTCGGGAGATGAGTCTGAAATACACGGGACTCCTGAGAAAAACAGTGTTGGCTGAACATAAACATAAGAGGCAGAGAAAAAAATGCACATTGTAGAAGAAAATGCATTTAAATTCTTCATGCACATTTAGGCCTGTCACGATAAGGGATTATTGTTGTGCGATATATTGTCACTGAAATTGTTGCGAAAAGTGATAATATTGTCATTTTGAGATCATTTTGATATTATAATGATTATATAAGAGCATAATAATGCAAATAGCCACTAATAGATTCTATAACTTGATGTTAAAAAGATAAATGTCCTATTATATATACTATTATATATACTAAATGTCGGTCCAATTTTAAAATTTGACACTGGTGAGAATGTAAATGTCGTTGTAATATGGCTTAATTGTTATTTGTGAATTTGTAAATATATTGCAATGGCAAAAATGATTGAAGTCATCTTCAAATATTGCACGATAAGTCGATATATTGATCATTGTAAGAGGCTTATGTACATCTATTGACAGCTTTCGTAGCTTTTGTTTGGCAACATCTCAGAGTTGTTTTATTATTATTATTTTTTTTAAGTATGTATATTTCAAAGATTCTGCCTGTCTGTTTATCTTACCACAACTTTTACAGCTTTAAATGTTTAAACATTAATGGGAAGTTGCTGATCAGATAAATGCAGTCGTAGTTGAGAAACATTTGACTTAAGTAGCCAGCAAGCATTTTTGGTTTCTAAAAGATGTCTAATAGATGTCTAACAGACATCTAAACATAGTCGTCTTGGCTAAAACAAGGCTAAATTTGGGCTGTGAAAGATCTAATAGCCTAAACTAGACTACTCATCAAATAAACAGAAATGAATGACTACACATATACAGTCTGTCTAATCTGTCTATTTGATGACTACTCTAGTTTTGGGCTATTCTTAGACGTCTATTAGATTATCTCTGACAGCCTAAGTTTAGCCTTGTTTTAGCCAAGCTGTCTACATTTAGATGTCTATTAAATGTCTATTTAACACACAGTTGTTTGCTGGGTAAGGCTGTTTACTAAAGTGATTCTTTGAGGCCGAATGGATTTGAAATGCAAACACATTTTGAATATTGAGGGTTAAGTTTGCCAGTTTTCTACCTGCTTTAACCGTGTGGGAGTTTTGCCGACCTATTGTCAGACTCACCATTGTATGTTTATATCCAGATGTGTGCTGCAGTGCGCTTTGCCTGGTTGTGCAACCAGCATGAATCATTGGGCAATAGGTCATAAAAATAGTTATTCAAAGGAGAACTACACAAGACACTGGACTTTGGAGACCACAGGAGAAATTGCACAGCTGTACCTGTGGCGGTGTGTGTGCGCAAGTGTGTCTTAACAGTTTCATTACCAGAAGAATAGTTGCAACGCAACTGAAACAGAGAATGAGAAGACGCAGAGAGTGATGCGAGAGCTCATTCGAAAAGGGGAAACAGCAATGAACACTTGTCTGTTCTGTTCTCTCTCTTTCTAGCACTTCATGTTCAGCATGACTGGATGGATTGAGGAAGACAGAGTGGAGAAAGACAGAGGTGAGTGAACAACATCCACACACATTTCAGTCTGTTTTTTTTTCTTCCCTATTGGCTGGAGTGTTTACGACTCTTGGACTGACATGGGCTGAGGCTCCTGATTTCCCTTAGGTCTTTTTTATATTGACACAATCATAGTTTGTTGATGAGAGTTGTGGTGCTTTGTATATACAAACTGGCTAAGTGATTGTGGTGAAAACCTTGTGACAGTTTTGATAACACTTTTGTATAATTTAAAATGCGATTATATTATACTCAGTCAAACTTTTCAGCTGAGAAATGACAGCATGCTCAATGCATTCATGGTTACAGTATGTCATATGTCAACTTATGTCATGTTCACCTTTTTAAAGAGCACACGAAAGCTCCTAAAATATTAGATGAGCTATCTTTGAAATGTCAAACACTTCCTCTGTTTGTTCCAAGCCTGTTTGAGTTCCTTATTTCAATTTAATCTAAAAGAAAATATTTAGAAAAATGTTGGGGAAACATTTTTTTTAATGGATGTCAATGGCTACTGGTTTCCAAAATATATGTGTCATTTAAAAGAATAAAAAAATCATGGTTTCAATGGTTTGGAACCACTTGGGGTGAGCAAATAGTGTCGCAAAATCGAGAAAATTGTATATAACATAAATGATATAAGCTGCTTTATGCATTGATGCAATGCTTTTGTAGCACGAATGCATCATTTATGTATTTGGAGAAACGTCTGAGGCAATTTCATTCAATCTAAGTAGCTGAATAGACTCTCAAACTGTAAGAGAGAACAAAAAAGTTGTGTGGAGTCAATAAGTTCATGTGTGTGAGTGTGTGTTTGTGGTTAGAGTGACATGCACAGTCTGAACGGAAGAGAAAGGGCTTTGATGAACACTACCGAAACGCATGATTGGCTAAATGACGTGTCTATCAACTCATGTTTTGTTTGTGGTTGGTTGGTGTGTCCCTGGCCGCGTGCCAGACCTCCTGCGGGGATTTTGCCGCTTTCTTAGGAATCAATGTGCTGTCGTCTGGGGTTTCCGGGGGACGAGGCCTCTCAATCTTTTGAATCTCTTTTCTTGTTTATGACATATCTGCAATGACAAGTTGAGTCAGAGAGGTGGTTTTGTCACTCGACTGAAGGTTTGGAAGGTTAATGAGAAGTACTGCACAAGCTGATTCAGTAGAGAAGCTGTTCAGATATATGTATATGCAAATTAGGTGATGACAGACTGAAGTGGGAGGGGTTTTTAGTTTAGGGGAATGTAGTTTGTGCAAATGTAAATTGTGTTAGGGACAGAAGTTCTGTAGTGGACAGGAGTATATAATATAATATAATATAATATAATATAATATAATATAATATAATATAATATAATATAATATAATATAATTAAAAATAATATTATAAAATAAAATAAAATATGATAAAATATAATACAATACAATATAATATAATATAATATAATATAATATAATTAAAAATAATATTATAAAATATAATAAAATATGATAAAATATAATATAATATAATACAATTTAATATATTATCATATAAAAATATAATATAATTAAAAATAATATAATATAATATAATATAATATAATATAATATAATATAATATAATATATAATATAATTAAAAATAATATTATAAAATAAAATAAAATATGATAAAATATAATATAATATAATACAATTTAATATAATATCATATAAAAATATAATATAATTAAAATAATATAATATAATATAATACAATATAACTTAATATAATATAATATAATATTACATGATATAATATATGATATAATATAATAAAAAATAATACAATTACATTTTATCTAAAATAAAATAAAATACAACATTCTAAAATAAAATAAACATAAAATAAAATAAATAAATACAATAAAAATAAAATATGGTATAAAATAATATAACATAATATATTACCATTAATTATTATTTACATCACTTTACATTACCTGTATAAGCACACTGTTAACAATTTCCTATAGAAGCAGTTTACCAGTAACTTACTGTAAATCAATTACAGCAAAAATACTGTATTTACATTAACAGCATCTTGATTATCGTGATGTATATGTATTTAATGTATTGTATATCTTTACTGTAAAGTATTTTACTCTTTACAGTATTTAATATTTAATATGAACTTTATATGTAATATAACCTGTATTTTACTGTTATGCTGTATGTATATGTATTTACAGTATTGTATATCTTTACTCTAAAAATACAGTAATTGTCACAATGCAACTTTAAAATACAATAACATACTTCATAACAGTAAAATACCGTTCATATTACATATAAAGTTCATATTAAATACCGTGTAATTAAACAAAAATCCTTAACAGCGTATATATAGACAGACAGACATCTTTAGACTTCTTTTTATCGGTGTGCTGTCACTTTAAGAGCATGTAAAAAGCTCATGTATACAAAGGGAAGAAACGGTAATGGGAAAAGTGACAAGGATAAATTATGAGAAAGTATGGAAAATCAGAGAAACCTGGAGTCCTGTCGAGGCAGGGGTGAAGGTGACGCCAAAAAAGAACATTCTTTGGCCGGCTGATGGTTGTTGTAAAAAGACACTCAAGAACACAATGTTCAGCTCTCTGTTTGCCAAGAGGGACCGCAATGATAAACACCAATCACGTGTGTCCAGAAAATGTCACTGAGATCCCCTAAAAAAGTGAACAAGAAGTCTGTTTAAGCTTTCAAAAAATCTATTCAGAGTTTTGTGACAGATCCATTCTGTTTTTTTCTTTCTGCTTTTTGTGTATTTATAAGATAAGCATACTGCTTTCTTGACTGACCAGCACACGCTTTTCCCTCAAGATACAGCGTTGGTTATCATTGGCAGCTCTAAACTGAGAGCTTAAATATAGTGTGGTCAGACTTTTTTCATAATACTAATGTAAAGGATTTCAACAAACACCTAATCCTATGCATTATGAGTGTGTAGCATCCATCGTTGTTACAGATAATGATTGTTGTGGTACTGCTTTTCTATATGGCACATCAAAACTATAATACGAGCTTATATATAGGTTCATGGACATGTTCATCTTTAATTCTATTGCGCCTTTACAGTGTAGATTGTGTAAAAGCAGCTTCACATAGAAGATTGTAGTAAATTGAATCAGTGTCAGTCCAGTTTTCAAGAGTTGAAGTACAGTTCAGTAAACACTGAAGAGCAAATCAATCAATGCGTAGCTCCACAGGTCCCGAACTATGCAAGCCAATAGCCACAGCAGCGAGAAAAAAACTTTACCAATTGGCAAAAGTGAAGGGAAAAAAACCTTGAGAGAAACCAGGCTCAGTTGGGCACAACCATTTCTCCTATGGCCTCCTATACACAAGTGTTACTGAATAGAACAGGTGTCAAATCCAGTTCCTGAAGGGTTGCAGCTCTGCACCATTTAGGTCCAACCCTGCTTCAACTCACTTACCTGCAGGTTTCAAACAAGTCTGAAGGACTTAATTGGTTTGATCAGGTGTGTTTAATTAGGATTGGAACTAAACTGTGCAGAACTGTGGCCCTCCAGGAACTGAGTTTGACACCTGTGCACTGTGTGAAAGGTGTCAACCAAGGTGAAACCAAATTAATTACTTTTATTCCTGACAATACATTAAGCTCTTATTACATTTTTTGATCGAAGTGTCTATTTAATGCATCAGAGTCAGCATACCTTAGCAACATTCATGTTAGCAACTTCTCAGCAACAGCCTATGACACGGAGCATCATGAAGGTGGGATTAGCATATGGAAGTACCGGTCAGTTTCTTCAGAAAATGTAAACTAATTTGATCAGCCTTGCAGTTGTTTTACTGACCACAAGATGGCAACACTTAACCAATCTTGTTTTCCTAAAACTTAAAGGGATGGTTCACCCAAAAATGGAAATGTAATCATTTACTCAGCCATCACCACACACAAAAGAAGATACTTTGAAATATTTTAAAAACAAGAACCCATTGACTTCTGTAGTATTTATGATTTCAATGGTTTCCATCATTTGTTTCAGCAAAATGTCTTTTATAATCAACAGGAACCACTTTAGGGTGAGTAAATGGTAAGTGTTTACCATGGATATATACCTAATATGGCACAGCTCACCACAAAATGAAAGTTCAGTCGTCATTCACTCTACACAAAACAAGATATCATGAACAATGTTGGTCTTCCTTCCCAAGATAATATCATCTTTTATGTTCCTCATTAAAAAAGTCAGTCCTACATGATTGGAACCACATTTAGATGTTTCCATGAGCTGTCCATTTAAAGCTGTGAATTCCAATTCTGAAGAGTCCCCAGCCACGGCTATTGATTTAGCCTCCATGGGCTGCTCTAACCATCCTAATCTTGTTAGCATGCAATCTCCACAACAGAAACTTAAGACATTTTCTGAGCTTAAATGCCAATGAGATTGTGAAAATGCTATTATGATGAAAACATGACGGTGTGTGTGTGTGTGATCCAGTGCCGCAGTGTCATTACCCAGAGCTGAGGGACCGCTCAGCAGTGACAGGCCTTTTAATGAGCCTATTAAGAGAACAGCAAAGACCAGGCTAATACCAGCCGTCATTAGTGACACAGCGGACACAGCACACCCTGGGGAGAGGCTACTTTTGGCAGGCACACTGGGATGGCCAGGATAGGTTGGTTTGGTGTTAACTGGCATCTCCCTGGCATTCAGAAACAGGATGGGCGTTCTCTCATGGCTGCTGTGGTAATTGCTCGGTACGCCAGAAATGTTGTTTTACAACCATCAGGCACAGACCAGAGCGTTCTGTTATAACCGCCTATGTGGGCTGCCCGTCACACAGCATATCTGCATTCGCTTAATGTGGGTTTGGCCTTGCTGGGTTTTATTGGCTTAACAGGAGTATAAACTCGGCAAGGTTGATGCTGTATAGTTCTCTTCTCTCACAGCTCTGAGCTCTGTTCAGCTCGCTGAATAGAGGTTTTTACTGTACTGCTCTTTACAACAA